CTACTACTACTACTACTACTACTACTACTACTACTACTTCGACTACTACTAATACTAATCTAACTCCTCCTCATCCTCCTCCTCCTCCTCCGCTTCCTCCTCCTCCTCCTCCTCCTACTACTACTACTACTACTACTACTACTACTACTATTACTCCTCCTCTTCCTCCTCCTCCTCCTCCTCCTCCTCCTCCTCCTCCTCCTCCTCTTCCTCCTCCTCCTCGTCCTCCTCCTCCTTCCTTTCTTCCTCCTCCTTCTTTTCCTCCTCCTCATCCTCCTGATCCTCCTCCCTGGGACCCCTGAAACTCGCTCGAGCACACTCTGTCGTCCCCGCGAGTATGACGCCACTCCTTGCTTTAGCGCGAAACCGTTCGAACCCTCTGCCCCGCACACGTTGTCCTACCGCATCCACAGCTGTGGAGGCGGTGGCGTCCGCAGCAGCAACAACAGCAAGGAAAGAAGCCAAGACTCGCCGGCCTTGAAGCAGCAGTCCGGCCTGCTGACGCTGGGCGCCTGACAACACTACACAAGTACGCACGAAGAGCAGGAAGAGGCATAGCAGTAAGCAGAGGTGTGGCAGGAGGAGGAGGAGAAGCAACAGAAGCAGCACCAGCGATAGACGACGGCGGCCATACGATGCGATCGCTGGATCCATCCAAGCTTTAGCAGAAGGATGCCTTGACAAGGGTGAGAAGCCTCTTTTTGGGCTTAAATGCACCGAACCACAAGGAACCCCGAGCCACTTCCGAACCCAAAGTGGTCCTTGCGCCAGCGCTTGACTGAACAGGACTGTTGAATTGACGGTGACGGCATATAACATATAAACACCACCACCGTGTCTGGCCAGGGCCATCCTGAACCCCACCATGGTGTATGCACCCTCGTGGCCTCGGCTAGGGAGGGCGTATCCCTGGACAGGCACGGCGGTGGTGTATCCCCCACTGTGCCTGCGGCACATGGAGGCGTAAAGGCCAAGGGTTGCCAGGCAGGGTTTCTGCAATCTTCTCAAGGACCGCTCCACCTCCCAATCACGCCCACCCAGCTGCACCAACCCTAGTAACGGGGGGTCCCTGGGCGGCCATGGCGCCTCCCTGGGGCTCTCCAAGGCTTCCATGACGGCCCAGGAGGCTCCCGAGACGGTCCAAGAGGGCCCCAGGTCGCCGAACGACCGCTCGAAGATGCCGAAGATGGCCTCAAGATAGCCCAGGAGGCCTCCAAGACGCCTCAAAAGGCTTCCAAGAGGCCTCCCGAGAGAGCCCCAAGAGGCTAAATTATGGATTTCCCTCCGGCTTTTGCAAGACCTTGGCGTTCTCGCCTTTTCGGCTTTCCGACGCTCCAGGACGGAGCAAGAGGCCCCCAAGACCACCCCGAAACGGCCCAAGGCCTCCGAGTGGGCCCCAAGACAGCCTCGGAGCGCCCCAAGACGGCCCAAGAGGCGCCCAAGATGGCCCGAGAGAGCCACAAGACGGCCCCAAAAGGAGCCCAGGAGAGGGAGCACGGACCGAAAATATGACCCGTCCGCCCCAAGAGGCTCCCGCCAGGCCCAAGAGGCCCCCCCACATGCCCCAGGAGGCCACCAAGAGGCCACCTGGAGGCCCAAAAGAGGCCCCAAGAAGCCCCAAAACGGCCCCCAGGGGGCCTCAAAACTGTCTTCGAGAGGCCCCCGATAACCTCCCACGAGATCCCAACGAGCATCCAATAGGCTTTCACACCTTCAACCCAGGCACGGTGGCAAGACTTCGCCACTGACAGCTGGATACACAAATGTCTTCTGCGGCGAATTCCGTAGAGGGCATGGGGGGGCCCCCGGAGGCTTCCAACGGCCTGCAGAAGCCCCAGGAGGGCCAGGGACGTCCAAAAAACTCGAGAAGGATCGGACCCGACCTGGCGGCGGCAGTGCGCGCGCCGGGCGACGTGAACTGCAAACTTTTCTCGAAGAGCGCTCGCTCGACGACGCGCAGGTCACAGTAGTGCAGATCGCAGGAGCGCGAGCCGATGGTTAGGTTATGGGCTGATAGCGCCCGTGATGGTACAACCGTGCGGGGACCAAAGAAGTCCCAGGGCACTGATCAATAATAATAATATATATATAATAATAATTATATATATTTAATATATTTTTTGATTTTTTTATATATATATATATATATATAATAAAAAAAATTTAAAAAAAAAAAAAAAAAAAAAAAAAAAAAAAAAAAAAAAAAAAAAAAAAAAAAAAAAAAAAAAAAAAAAAAAAAAACGTTCCTTGAATTCTTGATAGCTCGTCGTCCAGAACTCCCGCTCCTCCCTCTCCCCGTCCTCCTCAAAGTGGCGTTCGGGCCACAGCTCAAGCCGCCTGGGGCCACTCAGGACGATTCGGGCACCCTCTGAACGCTCGCGGCGAGGCGCAGCTGCTGGAGAGCACCCTGGGCTCTTACTGCCCTCGTCCGACACAGTCTCTCATGGCTCGAAATCCAGAACGGGCCTGAAGCTGTCGGGACTGGGTAAACGACGCCCAAACCACACTACATGAATCCTGATTCATGTTCTCCGTTATTTGCAATCGAATATCGGATTACTGAAACGTCAAATCCCGGGCCAGACCTCCCAGAGATCGTCCCCGCAAATTCAGACATGCAAAAACACACGGTTCGAATTAAAATCCACGGATCCTGGGAGGTCGGCTGACCTCCTGGATACCTCGCAGGCCGACATTCCCACTATTTCCTGGGTTGCCCCTGGGCGACAATCAGCCCCAGGAAGCCCGAGTCGATGTCGACGGGCCCGCTGGGGGCCGCAGGGGCGTTGCCGATCAGCGAGTCCCCACTGGGGACTTAGAGGTGGAGCTCCCTGTGGGCCACGAAACATGTGAGGCGCATGCTAAGAAGGCGACGATACTGCTGCTGGTGCTGCTGCAGGTGGTGGTGATGATGATGATGATGCTGATGATGATGATGATGATGATGATGATGATGATGATGGTGATGGTGATGATGGTGATGGTGATGGTGATGATGATGATGATGACAGGTTCTGAAGATGATAACGACGACGATTATGATGATGGTGGTGGTGATGGTGATGCTGATGATGATGGTGATGGTGATGCTGATGGTGATGATGATGACAGATGCTGATGAGGAGGACGACGACGACGATGATGGTGATGATGATGATGATGATGATGATCCGTAGGATGATGATGACGACGATCGTGATGATGGTGGTGATGGTGGTGATGATGATGATCATGATGACGATGATGATGGTGATGATGACGACGATGCTGATGATAATGATGATGATGGTGGTGATGGTGATGGTGATGGTGATGGTGATGGTGATGATGATGATGATGACGACGACGATGATGATGATTATGACGACGATGACGATGGTGATGACAATGACGCGGAAGATGGACTTGATACGTGGCGTACAGGATATCTTCATTAAACTAGCACCGTCCTTATATACCTACCACTGTCTTTACTGACCTGTTTAAGTGTTGCATAATCGTACCTATTGCCGGCGCAATATACAAGGGCGAGGGGTCTTGAAGCACCAGCGGCGCTCTCAAGTCAAGAGCGACGCGCGCCTCGCGAGGGCCCTTTCTTTGTCGTCACTGCAATCCTCCTCCTCATCCTCCACCTCCTCCTCCTCCTCCTTCTCCTCCGTCTCCTCCGCCATTTCGCGCCCGAGCGGCCCCCCTCTGCACGGGGCACGCACGCACGGGTGTTCCGACCACTCCAACTTCGAAGAGGCAATGCGCGGTGCCCCACGTCACCAGCTACAGTGCTGAGACCAGGCGCTCGCGGAGCCGCCAGGAGCCACGCCATCCGCCCCTTCCTCCCCCTCCTCCTCCCCCTTCTCCACCTCGGGTGAGCAGTGGCGCCAGCCGCCGCGGCGCTGTTGCAAGAGCGCAAGCAATAAGCAACGGGACAACGAGCCAAGAATCATCAGCTACAAGGCTGGGAGTGGTCTGTGCGACCACGCAGGCAGTGGCAGCACGGGCTGTCGGTGCGGAAGTGCAGGCAGCGGCAGCAGAGGTTGCCGATGCCCACAGGAAGAGCAAGAGCAATACGCCATCAGCTACAATGCTGCCAAGGTCAGCTAGTGCGAGAAGGCGGGCAGTGGCAGCAGGAAAGGTCAATGCGAGAAGGGAGGCAGCGGCAGCAGCTGGACCACGCAATGCGAGAAGAGCAAGGGCAAGCAATCGCAGCAGGCACTGAGAATGCAAGAAGCGAGGCGTAGAGCGTCACCATCACCTACAACGCTGGGGGCCGACCGTGCCAGGCAAGAGACCCCGCGCGGGCCAGCGTCACCACGTACCGGGCAGGGACCCGTTCGCGCGAGAACGGCGAAAGCGCGCGAGCCAGCGTCATCAGCTGCAGGGCGTGGACCCGTTCGGGCGGGAGACGCCGGCCCACGCGTGCCGCGTTGGCGGGACGGCAGGCGGTGCCAGCGGCCATGCGGGAAGGGCCGGCGGTGGAAGCAGGCAGCGGCACCTCATCCGCTGCACTGCCGGGGGTCAGCGCGCCGCATCGGCCCGCAACGGTGCTGGGATCAGCCCGAGCAGGACGACGGGCAGCGCGGGAGGGCAGGCAGCGGCAGCAGCGGTTGTCGGTGCCGCGTGTGGCAGCAGGGACTGTCAAGGTGATGAGGCTGGCAGTGACAGCAGCGGCCGACATGGACCGAGGGCGACGCTGGAGCGGAGCATCGTCAGCCACGTTGCTGCTGGGGTCAGCTCGTGCGAGAGCGTGAGCAGTGGCAGCACAAGCTGTCGATGCGAGAGAGTAGGCAGTGGCAGCAGCGGCGAGAACACCGTCAGCGAGGGCCGGGATCAGCCCAAGCAGGGCAGCAGGCGGTCGCAGCAGGTGTAGTCGCGAAGGGAGGCGCGACCGAACCATCAGCTACAATGATGGGATCAGCTCATGCACGAAGGTGGGCACTGGAGTACGCGCATTGTGGGCACCGCACCAAGACGTCATCCGCTACAGCTCTGGAGTTTTTGTTTGCAAATCGCAGCACGACGCTCCATTCTGCCAGGGTCCGCGGCTGGGGCCGCGGCGAGTGACTGGCAGCGGATACTGTCTACCAAGTGAGCAGAGACTGCGGCGGAGGAGCGAGGCCACATGAGTCACATGAGGAATGCGCTGGAGTTGGCGCATGCACCAGGAGAAGAACGTCCTCCGCTACAGTGTTGGGGTCAGCTCGTTCGAGAAGGAAGGCAGAGGCACCAGGCTGTGGCGGCGAGATAAGGCAGAGAGAAGGCAGGCAGTGGCCAACAGCGCGGTCGGTACTCAGACTCAAACCTAGAGCGCGCACCATCGGCCACGAAAACGGGGCCCGCTCGCGCGAGACGGCAGGCAGTGGAGGCTGGGCGTGTCGGCACGAAAAGGCAGCAGTCCCAGACGCCCGCCGCCATGATTTTTTCAGAACGTCGACCCCCAGAGGTCTCCGCCCATTCCCTGGGATGGGTTTCTCATCCCTGATCGTCTGTTTGGTCCAGAGGCCCGGGAAGGGCACCCAGAGGCCAACAATAGCCTTAGGTAGGGCATGTCCTACTACAGGCGGATTTTGGAAGAAAAATTTAAAAATTGTCAAAATTTGCTTTAAACAATCAAAAATAATCAAAAAATCGTCCCCATATTATTTTATGACTATTCTCGAATATTCCTCCTGTAGAGGGACACGCCCGACTTAACAATAGCGAAAACCTCTCGTCGTGACTTCTGTCATGACCCGAGGGGGCCTGGGGTGGCAGCAGCGCGCGGTGCCCGACGAAAGGCAGGAGCGAGACGTCCTAAGCTGCAACGCTGGAGTTCGCTCGAGCGCGACGTGGCTGGGGCGCAATGGCTTGCCCGGCAGGCTGCGGGGCTCCCTGGGGGCCCACGCCGTCCGTCAGCCACCCTTCAGAAGAAAAAGAGCCCTAAAGCCTGGGCAGTGAGACAAGACCAGGAGGAGGAACAAATCGTATGAGGGCAAATCGAGAATCTGTGAGGTCCAGTGGCTCTGGCGGATGTCTCGGGCGCCGCGGCCTTCTCAGAGCGTTCCGGAACGCTCTGAGAGCGCTCTGGAACGCTCGGGTGCGGATTTACCCTCGTCCTGGGCCCCCGTCCGAGGTAGGCACGAACGAACGACCACCTCGACGGACAAACGTCTGGGTCTAACGAAGACCAGGTGGATGAGGCCGTGGCCTCATGGATCCAGCAAGCACGGGTAACATTCACCAAATTTCAGTGTCCGCCTGTCGCTTCGGCGAGGCGTGCCTGCCGAGAAACGACTCACATGACTTGGCCCCTGAGAGACAGGACATACGTGCTCGGAAGATGTTGTCATTATTGACTCATGTTCCACACGTCCGCAAAAAATCGTGGACACGATTGATCTGACCATATTCGGGTTCATCTGTCTCTCCTGTGTCCTCCTCCTTTTTGCTATCATCCTGCTCGCCCTAGTCCGTGATCTCATCACGTGACTCTGGGTATGAGTGGAGCTGGTCCCTGGCGTCACGCTGGCCATCCGAGTCAATGTCGTCGTGCTGTACGCCGAACTCCTTGGACTCGGTGATCGGGCCAGCATTCACAGTCTTGTCCGTGTGCTTCTTTTGGCTCTGGATTTTCCTGTTTGACTCTGAATGTTTTCCGTTCCCTCTGGGGGGCACGTGCAGATCTGGAAGGTGGAAATTTCGTTGAAGATCCTCTCATCGAGGTTGTATTCGCCAAGGCCACTCTTCTTGAAGACGTGCCCGTCCATCCCCCAGACGCAGAACTTGTTTCCAGATACTGATGCGCAGCGCATGGTTCGGGGAAGGAGGCTCTTCATCGGAGTGCAGAACAACAAGTCAAGGCGAGACAATCGAGTGCTTAATGTCGTCCATATTGTTCAAGCGCTCGCTGAAGCCCAGACCATCTGGCATCTTGGAGATGCTGCCATTCTTCATGGCAAACATGTCTTGACTGACGATACAAAAGAGCTTGTCCAACCTGTCCGTGATCCCATGCAGCTTACCTAGCCTCTATGGCGTCAAAGCGGTCCTCCATGCGCTTTGCGTCCTCTATGATCGCTACGTGCCGTCGTTCGCGCCGAACCTGCCAAGAGGCAGAGCGTTCCATTGCAGGCGGGTGGGTGGAAGCATCACTCGCTGTGCTGTCCGACTGCGCGGGCCCTGCTTGCTGAATTGCCCTGAGACTTGAGACTGGATCCAAGAAGAGCTCTGGCAGCTGAGCCTCGTCGCCCAAAAGAGTCCGGGGGATTAGGGTAGGCATCGCTCGCCACGGCTGTTCCGCCATGCGTGCTCGAATTCCTGTTGGCTTGACCACATAACCCAGCATAATCCTCCGCCTCCGCCTCCGCCTCCTCTTCCTCCTCCTCCTCCTCCTCCTCATCCTCATCCTCATCCTCGTCCTCATCCTCATCATCATCATCATCATCATCATCATCATCATCATCATCATCATCATCATCATCATCACCATCATCCTCATCATCATCATCATCATCATCATCATCATCATCATCATCATCATCATCATCATCATCATCGACATCACCATCATCACCATCATCATCACGATAATCATCATCAGCAGCAGCAGCAGCAGCATCATCATCATTAGCCCTCCTCCGTTTCGTCCTCCTCCTCCTCCTCCCTCCTTCCTCCTCCTCCTCCTCCTCCTCCTCCTCCGCCGCCGCCGCAGAAGAGGGCGGGGCGGGGCAAGGGGGGCTCCCAGGTCATGTGCTGCTCGCGTTCGGGGTCCTCCATTGGTTTCAGCGTCTCGTACAGCTCCGATATCTCACCTGTCCCGGGCATGAAGACCACGAGAAGGAGAATTGGCTGAGACTTGGTTAGGTTTATGTTGCTCCAATCGTACTTAAGGACCACATCCAAGAAATAATTTCGAACACCCAGAAAAGTATCGAAACAATGTCGAACGAGTATCGCCTCCCAGGGCCCGATACGTGAAAGCCCTCCAGTTTCGGTACTCTCTTGGTGCTCGAAATTATTTCTGGTGGTCAGGGCTAAAGTAGGTTGGAGCATCATAA